GTGGCCGGGAGCGGCCACTGCACTCCAGTCTGGGCGACTGAGTGAGACTCTGACTCAAAATAAATAAATAAATAAATAAAAGAATCAGATTGACTTCTGTGATTCTTGATATAAACAGAACATTATGAGAAATTGCCCTAAGAAACCATAAAATACCATACTTACATATACCTTTAGAAGAGGTTCACATAGTTAAAAACAATTCCTCAGGTTGATTCTGGTTTTTCTGAAGGAAATGAGAAGGCAACCAAGAACAAACTGATGTCAGAGGAAACGTGAATGTCCTCCGGATGCCTGCTTTCCCCCTCTTCGTGAGTATATGTATATATAACACCCACAGGGCCCTTGCTTTGCAAAGATCACACAGAAGTGATGAATTCTCTTCTCCTAGAAGAATAATTTTGGTTGAGGTAGTCAATATTTTGCTTTGCAATTAGCCAAATGTAAGGGAGTCCTTTCTGAAATTTTTGCTTCAGAGCTCTAATTTCTTTTTTTGAGTCAGAGTCTCACTCTGTCACCCAGGCTGGAGTGCAGTGGCATGCTCACGGCCACCACAGCCTCAACCTGCTGTGCTCAGGTGATCCTTCCACCTCTGTCTTCCAAGAAGCTGGAACCACACACCCGGCTAATTTTTTGATTTATGGTAGAGACAAGGGTTCGCCAATTTGCCCAGGTTGGTCTCGAACTTGTGGGCTCAGGCAATCCTCTCGCCTCTGCCTCCCAAAGTGCTGGGATTACAGGCATGAACCACTGCGCCCAGCCAGCGCTCTAATTTCAATTTAGTTGGCTATTCTCTGGTGTATGAAGTAAAAGAAGAATTAAGCATAGTTAAATGACCATGCCTCTAAAACTCATATTGCTTTCCAAGTTTTAGAGGTTCCTAAAGCCCAGGGCAGAACTCTTAGGTGGGAAGGAAAACTTCGGCTCCTGCATTGCATTGTATATGAAGAAATGTACTTTTAGGATTTAGAACATGGGTAGAGCTAAAAATATTTCTGCATTTGGCATCAATTGCCATTCTTTTAGGAGTAGAGTAAAGCTTTTCATAATGTATAAAATAGCATATAAAAAATACCAAATTTTATGTTTGCTTTTATAGCAAGATCTTCTACAGCACATATACTACAAAACTATCCTTTCTTCATTCTCTAGTGCCTTTCTTTATTCCCCCCTTTGAATTGCATCAAAGAGCATCTTCTGAATTCAACCTCCGTTTCTGCATATTCTCTAACTTATTATTAACATATTATTTAACTTACTTGGGCTCTTGTACCAACCCATGGAGGGACTTTATATCTGGGCTTAATGTTGGTGTTTCCTGATTTTAAATAGTAATGGCTGAAAATGTTAGCAATTTAATTTTTCCATTATGGCAAATCGTAAGCATTTGACTTTACCTATGCCTATTCATGCTGACAAGGCTAAGGGTATTTGGCAAAGTGTTTAGAAAACAGTAATATCAAAGATGATTTCAATGTTTAAAATGTGTCTCCAGTAATTGATAGCTTTGAAGAAAATATTGTAAATATAGTAATAGCAGTTACATACATATCACTCAGTAGTATGTTCACTCCCCAGGCCCACCACTTTCTAGCTATGCTACCTTGGGAAAATTACTTATTATCATGTCCCAGTTTTGTTGTTTTCCTATGTAAAATGGAGATAATAACTGTCCCTAAATCTTATATTTGTTGTGAAAATAAATAACATGATACATATGAATCACTTACAAAAATTTTGACAGTTATTAAGTAGGCAATATGCATTAGCAGTTATAGTTTCTATTATTATTTATGTGTTCTAAGAAAATCTTGGAATTCTTGTTAATGTGGAAACATTTCTGTCTTGATTATAGGAATTTATTTCTGTTGTTTGGAGCACAGAGGGGATGCTGAAATGGAAAGTCTCAAGGTCGATATTGAAATGCCCTATCCTGAGAGAATAGTAGAAGTGGGCAAAGTGACTTTTGGAGAAGAGAACAGAAAGAAGATGACTAATAGCTGTTTGAAAAGATCTGAGAATTCTAAAATCATCCAGGCTATATGTGCACTGTTAAATTCTGGAGGGGGTGTGATCAAAGCAAAGATTGATGATGAAACCTATAGTTACCGATGCCATGGACTGGGACATGATTTGGAAACCTCCTTTCAAAAGCTCCTTCCTTCAGGTTCACAGAAATACCTTGACTACATGCAGCAGGGGCACAATCTCCTGATTTTTGTGAAGTCATGGAGCCCAGATGTTTTCAGTATCCCACTAAAGATTTGCAGCTTGCACTCCAATTTATATCAGAGAGATGTGACATCCGCTATCAACCTGAGTGCCAGCAGTGCTCTGGAGCTTCTCAGAGAGAGGGAGTCTAGAGCCCAGAGGGGAAGACCAAGGATAAAGGAGTTGCATCCCCAGCAAGTTCTCAACAGATACATTCAGGAAGAAGAAGACATGAGGATGTCTGCCTCAGAATTTTTTAAAAAGGAAAAACTCACATTTAAGGAGAAACTCAACTTTACTGAGTCAACGCACGTTGAGTTTAAAAGGTTCACCACCAAAAAGATTGTACCTCGGATTAAGGAAATGCTGCCTCATTATGTTTCTGCATTTGCCAACACTCAAGGGGGATATCTAATTATTGGGGTAGATGATAAGAGCAAAGAAGTATTTGGGTGTAAGAGGGAAAAAGTGAACCCTGACTTACTAAAAAAAGAAGTAGAAAACTGCATAGATAAATTGCCAACATTCCACTTCTGTCATGAGAAACCAAAGGTGAATTTCACTACCAAAATCCTGAATGTGTACCAAAAAGATGTCCTGTATGGCTACGTCTGTATAATTCAAGTGGAGCCCTTCTGTTGTGTAGTGTTTGCAGAGGCCCCAGATTCCTGGGTCATGAGAGACAATTCTGTTACAAGGCTGACAGCTGAGCAATGGGTGGTCATGATGCTGGATCTTCCATCAGGTAAAGAGGGAGTGAAGTTATCACCCAGTCAGCAGGGTATTCAGTCATGTATTTTAGTTTAAAAATAGAATTTGTGCCAGGTGCAGTGGCTCATGCTTGTAATCCCAGCACTTTGGGAGGCAGAGGCGAGAGGATTGCCTGAGTCCAGGGGTTTGAGACCAGCCTGGGCAACTAGGTGAGACCTCCTCTTTACAATAAATCAAAACATTAGCCAGACGTGATGGTGCATGCCTGTAGTCCCAGCTACTTGGAAGGCTGAAGCGGAAGAATCACCTGAGCCCTGCAGGTCAAAGCAGCAGTGGCTGTGAGCGTACTACTGCACTTGAGCCTGGGCAACAGAGTGAAACTCTGACTTAAACAAACAAACAAATATAATTTGTTTTTTCTTTTTCTTTTTTTTGAGTTAAAGTCTCACTCTGTCACCCAGCCAGGAGTGCAGTGGCACATTACAGCCACTACAGCCTCAGGCAATCCTCTCACCTTGGCCTCCCAAAGTGCTGGGATTATAGGCATGAACCACTACACCCACCCTAATTTATTTTTTCTTATATATGTTTTCCCATTACAAGAAATGTTTTTAGTTCCAAAGATTCAGAGTACATACTCTTTGGGGGTCAAGAAATGTTTGGATTTCAACCTATTTGGGGAATGTTCTAGCATGCCATCAATCATGAAATAGGGAAGTTTTCTTTTATTTTCTTTCTTTCTTTTTTTTTTTTTTTGAGTTGGAGTCTCATTCTGTCACCCAGACGAGTGCAGTGGCCGCTCCTGGCCACCGTAGCCTCGACCTGCTGGGCTCCGGCGATCCTTCCGCCTTAGCCTTCCAAGTAGCTGGAACTACAGGCGCGTGCTACCACGCCTGGCTAATTTTTGATTTATTGTAGAGATGAGGTCTCGCCAAGTTGCCCGGGCGGGTCTCGAACCCGCGGGCTCAGGCAATCCACTCACCTCAGCCTTCCAAAGGCGCAGGATTACAGGCTGAGCCACCGAGCCCAGCTGGGAAGTTTTCTTTTCATGCACTGAAAAGGCCTGTTGAAAAAATTTTGCAAGCAGACTGTCCTAGTAAAAATAGGAATAGTCTTATTCTAACGATGATATTCCAGAGAAACATTGTTTAAGAACGACTCTCCAGTAAATCTTTCAAAGAAAACATTGTTGATAAATTTGAATTGTTTCAGTAACATTAGGAGCTAACACCATAAACCATTGGGTTTGGGGCACCACCAAGTGAGGAAAAATGATGCAAAAACAAATGCTGGGGCAAGGGGATTTAGGGGAAGAAGGACCCTAATGTTTTCACTGCCCTTACAGTTTTGCTAGGAATCAGCCTTGGGGATTTCTAATCAATTCATAAAGGATTTACAGGCTGAACTAAACTTATGAACTTGCCTTCACAGTAGGTATGTTCCAAATTTTATAATTGAGACTTGAGTGATTAGGGAATTTTTTCTGATTATTCTTTCTCTATCCTGCTCTCTCTCCTTCCCCTCCCCCACCATCCTAAAGATCTCACCACTTTGATTTCATCTAACCTTAAATGAGAACTTTATAACTATAACAATATTTTTTAAAATACTGTGCTTGGGCCAGGCTCAGTGGCTCAGCCTGTAATCCTAGTACTTTGGGAGGCCAAAGCGAGTGGATTGCCTGAGCCTATGGGTTCGAGACGAGCTCGGGCAACTTGGCGAGACCTCATCTCTACAATCAAATAAAAAATTAGCCAGGCGTGATAGCGTGCGCCTGTAGTTTTGGCTATTTGGAAGGCTGAGGCAGAAGGATCGCTGGAGCTCAGCAGGTCGACACTGGGTTGGCTGTGAGTGTGCCACTGCACTCCAGCCTGGGCGACAGATGGCGACAGAGTGAGACTCCAACTCTAAAGAAAAAAAAATACTGTTCTTAACCTTTGCTTATCCCCACTAGATGCTTTTTTTTCTTAGAGATGACCTGGACTTAGGATATTAGAGTTGAAAGGAAGTTTAGGGATCATCATATCACACTTGTGTGAGAGAGCAGTAAAATGGTTTGCCTAAGCCGAGTCACATAGTGAATTAGAATATGCATGACATGACCCCTGCAGGAATTCTCAGACTCTCTTTCCCAAAATATGTGAACTGTTTGAGGCACAGTAAATGTGATAGCAGTTCAGGTATCTTGCACATGACAGGACTCCAGTAGATAGAGCAATACAAAGAGTTCTTTTACTTTCTAAAAAAATTTTAATCTGAAACAACTTTCTATGTAATTGTCTAGCTCCTAGTCTGGCTGCAGACTGCTGCCCTTACCTAATTTCATCAACTTCATGTGTACTAAGAAGTAGAGCATATCCCATTAAGGTCCTGGAATTTAAGGAGGCTCTGCAACGACGTTTATTTCCAGGTATTCCCTCTTGATTTCAGTTGAGGGGACTATTTGTTTCCTAAAATTAAGTTGGGAGGTATTGGTAGTAATTAGTCCAGGTCTTTCTCCTTAGAGAAAGTCAAATATGGGACTTAGCAGACATGTGATCCTAAAATTATATATATCTTGTTTCCCAGTCATCTGAACCCCACTATACTATTTCTGTGTGTTTTTGAGCTTCCAGTCACATATGGCTTTTGTTCTCCAAATTTGAAAGTGTTGGGAATTTCTTAGGTTTCTACCATAGAAGAACTGCCCTTAACTTTCCAACACAGAAGGAACCACTGGGTCACGTAAACTTCTTCTAAAGCAGGGTTTTTCAATACCACTGTCATTGGGGTCAGTCACTTCTTTTATAGGGAGGGAGTACACTGTGAATTATAGGATAATTGGCAGCATTCCTGGTTTATATCCACTACATGCCAGTAGAATACTTTCAGTTGTAACAATCAAAACTTCTCTAGACATTGCCAAATGTCCCAGGAGGAAGAGGAGGCAAAATTGCTACTGGTTAAGAATCATGGGTCTGAAGGAAAGCTCTTATTTTTCCAAAAGCATCAGGTCCACAAAACAACCCTTAACAGGAAATATTGTCTATCTTTTCAACAATGTTCCAGTAATAGTGGACCATCTGGGATTGAGGAGAGGGCTCTAGGAGACTGTCCTTTGAAGACCCTGACAGCTTTCCCCTGTACTATAGCTGCAGAAATAAGAATCTGATCACAGCCCTGGGCTGTGAAAAGGGGGTGCTTTCTTTGCACACAAGAAAACCTATCGTTCCATGACTAGAGTTTTTTCTTCTTACAATGTTGCAGAAATACTTATGCTTTTGTAAGTTTTGATAACTTCAATTCTTTGAATTTTCAGTGACACAGGAAGAGCTACAATTTAAACCAGAATCCCTCTGTAAGAAGCTATTTTCAGATCACCAAGAACTGGAAGATTTAATGAAGACACAGATACATCCTTGTTCTCAGGGAATTGTGATATTTTCTAGAAGCTGGGCTGATGATGTTGGCTACAGGAAAGAAAACAATGTCCTCTGCGATGCTCTCCTAATAGCAGTCAACAGCCCCCTCGTACTCTATACAATCTTAATACAACCCAGTTGGCTTGGAGGACTTGAATATGTCAGAAACACTGCTCATCAGTTAAAGCAGAAACTGCAAACTATTGGTGGTTACACAGGGAAAGTGTGCATCATTCCAAGGTTGATACACCTGACCAGCACACAGTGTAGACCTGGTGAGATCTCTGTGCACTACCCTCAATCTTATAGACTTGCTAATGAGGAAGAAATGGAAGACTTGTTGCAGGCCCTTGTGGTGGTCTCCCTGTGCTCTAGATCTCTTCTGAGTGATCGACTAGGCTGTGAATTTTTCAACTTGCTCATAGCGGAGCAGAGCAAGTTACTTTCTGAGAGCCTTCAGGAGACACGTGAATTGTTCATCCACTGCTTTCCGGGGACCAGGAAGACGGCCCTAGCCATAAAGATCATGGAGAAAATTAAGGATTTGTTCCACTGCAAACCAAAAGAGATCCTCTATGTTTGTGAAAGTGACTCCCTAAAGGATTTTGTGACGTAAGAATTTTACCAACTAAACACACAAAAAATATTGTCTATCTTTTCAACAATGTCACACAAGAAATTTGTGTTTTTAGTATAAGGATTTGCGATGCTTAGTTGCATAAATGCAAGAGTCCAAACTATATACTCATTTCCAAATGATTAGGGAGTTGTGGGAACCAAAGAGAGGCCCAAACTTTACCTGGATGATGTCTACTTGTATACCTAATCCTGAATTGTACCCCATGTCTTTAAAATTATATATATATTTATATATTTTGTGTGAGTGTGCATCTCTTTCATATATATATATGAAAAAATGATCACACAAAAAAATGATCAAGGAGTTGACCTACAAACAGATAATTTACAATGTTTAAGTTTAAATATTTCATTGTAAATAAGCCAAGTATGCATAACTTTGTAGAACTAGAATTTTTTTCACAATCTGTGGCCTTAGTTTTAAGAAAAGTAGAAGTGAACCTATTTTGCTTTAAATATACTTTTTGCTTGATATTTAATGTTTTAATGCTATAGGATGTTTCAGCTAATTAGGCATTGGATCTAGCAGAAACTTGAATTTAAATGCAATTTGATTTTGTTTATAAAATATTTTCATGTTTTGACTTGTTCTGCACCAGTAATTTTAGGAAACATGCAAATTTGCTTTGAATTTAAATTTCTAGCTTTCAATTTAGTAAAATAAATTGGTCATTATATAATTCAGCAAACAAGGGCAAAATTGTTATGATTTTTGGTTTGGTTTACTTATTCAACAAATTATATGGATCACTGCTTATATGCTATACTTTGTGCTACATTCATTGTCAGAGGGGAAAACATATTGAAGATCTTCCATTAAAAAAATAATGTGGTGTTCGCTACGGCAGCACATATACTAAAATTGGAATGATACAGAAATTAGCATGGCCCCTGTGCAAGGATGACACACAACTTTGTAAAGTGTTCCATATTTAATAGTAATAATAATAATAATGTGAACATTGTGTAGTTAGTATAATAATAAAGATATGCTTCTTTTAACTTAGGCTGGAGGTTGGTTGGCAAATACTACCCAGGGAAGGACCCTTGGGCACACTCTTAAAAAGTCAGTAGGAGAAGTGAATGAAGTGAGGAAGGCTTTCTAGGCAAAGGGAACAGCAAGTTGAAAGGCATGGAGACACCGGAGAACCAGAATAGTGGCTTTGATTGAAACAGTGAGAAAATTTGGGCATATAGCATGTGGTGATGTTGGAAAGGAGGCAGATAGATTAGGAAGTATCCTGTGGAGTGTGCTAAGGACTATGTATGCTCTTTATTAAGCTTTTAGCTAAGTTTTAGAATATCCCAGTCAAAAGGCTAATTTAGCAAATATTTACTCAATCCCTAATGAGAGAGATATACAAAGATGGCTAAGAATCAGTGTTTTATTTTCCTTTTTCCTTTGAGTCCACACAATCCAAATGGGAAGAGAAGAATATAAATAGTTATAATTCAAGGCATAGAGAGTAAAGCTCCAGAAACAGCATAGGTAAAATCAGGGACTCTGTAGGAATGAGTGGTATTATTTGAATCCAAATTAGAGGAGGCAAGAAACAACAAAATTTGTTAAGACAAAAATATATATGCTAAAACATACTACAAAGGAAAATTGAGCTAAGTAAATGAGGTAGCACCAGGAGGCATAGCCCCATAGATTTTTCGCCCTACTTCACTTGTCATAGAAGTCAGCAACCTCTTGATAGTTTCCTTACCAAAAACTAAAGAAGTTTTTGGCTTTATATTACAAGTGAGTGGGAAAAACAGAATATACTTTAGAGGAATTTTTGTGTGTGTGGGTGTGTTGGAATGCATTCTGTTGCCTAGACTGGAGTGTAGTGGCACAATCACAGCCACCACAGCCTCGACCTGCTGGGCTCAGGCAATCCTTCCGCCGCAGCCTTCCAAGTATCTGGAATCACGGGTGGGCTCCACCACACCCAGCTAATTTTTTTTTTTGAGTTGGAGTCTCACTCTGTTGCCCAGACTGGAGTGCCATGGCTACTCCCAGCCACCGCAGCCTTGACTTGCTGGGCTCTGGCGATCCTTCCACCTCAGCCTTCCAAGTAGCTGGAACTACAGGTGAGCGCTACCACGCCCGGCTAATTTTTGATTTATTGTTGAGATGAGGTCTCGCCAAGCTGCCCAGGTGGGTCTCGAACCCATGGGCTCAGGCAATCCACTCACCTCCCAGCCTCCCAAAGGTGCAGGATTACAGGCTGAGCCACTGAGCCCAGCTTAATTTTTTGATTTGTTGTAGAGACAAGGTCTCACCAAGTTGCCCAGGCAGGTCTTGAACACATGGGCTCAGGCAGTTTTCTTGTTTCTGCCTCCCAAAGTGTTGAGATTATAGGCATGAGCCACTGCACCTGGCTTCTTTAGAGGAATTTGAATTAGCCTTTGCTTCTTTTGTGTATACAAATTATGATATGCCTCTGGGATGACTGTTCTCTAGATGTGCACAGGATAGAAAGTACAGAGATGGTAATAATAAGCGTAAGTTACTTTGGAGATTTCCTTTAGATGTAAAGAGAGTGTGTTCAAGGATTGACAGGTAGCAGAAATAGACTCCTACTAATAGCAATAATAAACTCTCCTGCCTTGTTTCATCTCAGAAGTTTCACTTGCAGATTTAACTAGTTAACCCCAAAGAGTAGGGTGTAAAATTATTATGCGTTCTGTCTGTCAGGTAACTTGTAAGCAGAACAGTTTTGCTATTCACCACACCATTGAATTAATGAATCAGTCTGCAGAGGAGAATTAGCCTCTGATTCCAATATAGAAGAAAGTCACGAATGCTGGTGCTCTCATTGTTTATATAGGCCTGAAGCTTTGTTTTCTTTTTCACCCTTACAGCCAACAAACTGCCTGCCAAGCTGTGACGCGGAAAACCTTCATGCAAGGGGAGTTTCCAAAGATTAAACACATAGTGACGGATGAGACTGAGAATTTCTGCAGCAAATATAGTGATTGGTACATGAAGGCTAAGAACATCACCCATCCAAAGGTGAGGGGGACTGGAAGTGAACACCCTCATCATGGGATTCTCTGGCTTTTTCTGGACCCTTTCCAAGTTCATCACACTGATACCAACGGCCTTCCTTCTCCACATGCTCAGTTTCCTAGAAAAACAATCACCAATGGAATTTATTGTGCTCTGGAAATAGCAAAGATCATGAAAGAAGAAATGAAGAGGATCCAAGAAAGTCCTCCCCTCAACATGTCTCCAGACACATTGGCATTGTTCAGAGAGGTTGCCTATGAGGAAGTAATGTGGGCCCAGGCTCTGCCTGGAGTGTATGAGACAAAGACTAACCTTTCAGAAGAACAAATAGCAAACTACACAGCAGAACGATGTCACAGTCTGTTCCAATGTGGCTATCTGCCCAAAGACATAGCAATTCTGTGCAGGAGAGGGGAGGACAGAGAACGCTATAAGTGTGCACTGTTAAAAGCAATGGGGTTAATTGAGACCCAAGGAGCATCAGAGGTTGTTTTCAGCCAGGTCACTGGTGTTTGGGGCAATCATATTGTTTTAGACAGCATTCAGCAGTTTTCGGGCCTGGAGAGGACTATTGTATTTGGGCTTAGTTCAGAATGTGCTCAGTCAGAGGAGTTTCATAAGCTCTGCTTTGCCTCAAGAGCCATTAAACACCTCTACCTGCTTTATGAAAAGAGGGCAGCCTTCTGAAAATTATTACAGATAATACAGGAGGCCACAAAGAGCAGAGTTCCTTCTCCCAGACAGGTAGGTGGCAGCAATTCTTTTTTAATATTACAAGTGAGAAAATCAAGGTACATCAGTTGGCCTGGAGTCACAGAAATGTCCCTTGGGGCTGAGTCTTCCACTCTATTTCAGTGCCACCGGCCTTTTCCCAGTTCACTTCACCTCCTCCCTGGACAATTACAGGGTGCCCTACCCCCAACTTTCCTAGCCCAAACCAGCTGTCATCCTGTCAACCAGAGAGGTTGTCCTCAAATAGAGAATTTATTCTATAAAGATCCCCTGCTAATGCACCTTCAGACAGTCCCCACAACCTTCAAACCAATCCAGTTTTCAAGACATTCCATGATAAGCCCTGACTTACTCCTCTCCCTACAACATCCTTTATCATACTTCTATCTCCCAATGTTTCTAATGCACCACAGCCTCACTGGCCTATTTTTTGGGTGATTGTAGGATAGCCCCCAAGTTAGTTGCTTTGGCTGGTGTCTCAGGGGTCTCAAGATTTAGAGGTCCAGAACTTGATTATCTCTTTGCACCAAGTCTAAGTCAGTCTTGTGATGATTTATGATAACCAAGCTTATAAAACAACGAATGCATACATAATTATTGTGTTATTTTACCTTGAGGACTGTAGTAACAAGTAGGCCAGGTGCTTTTACTAATCAGTGCATTCAATAGTAACTCAGGAAGCCAAATTGCATGAACATAGCCTTGCAGTATGGGAAGTTAGTAATCTGATTCAAATGTTAGAAGTCTTCAGGCTATATCAAACTATTGCAATATCTACAAAATAAGAATGCTATCATTTCTAAAATATATTTCTTTTTCTTTTTTGAGTCAGGGTCTCATTCTTTGCCCAGACTGGACTGCAGTGGTACAGTTATGGCTCACTGCAGCCTTGACCCCTTGGGCTCAGGTGATCCTTCCACCTCAGCCTCCTGAGTAGCTGGGACTACAGGTGTATGTCGCCATGCCTGGCTAATTTATTTTTTATTTTTTTGTAGACGCAAGGTCTTGCTATGTTGTCTAGGCTGGTCTTGAACTCCTGGGCTCAAGCAATCCTCCAACCTCGACCTCCCAGTGTTCTAGGATTACAGGTGTAGACCACTGTGCCCAGCCAAAAATAAAGATATTTCTATCACAAGGACTAGACAGGTCCAGACAGGTCAGGATTACAACTTAAAGCCAATTTAGAATGTTAAGCATGACTGGTTCAATATTCTCTATATTCAGATGAAGTTTGCTTTTTCCTCCAAGTTTCTTTTTTTTTTTTTTGAGTTGGAGTCTCAATCCGTTGCCTGGACTGGAGTGCAGTGGCCGTTCCCGGCCACTGCAGCCTTGACCTGCTTGGCTCCGGCGATCCTTCCGCCTCAGTCATCCGAGTAGCCAGAATTACAGGCATGCGCTACCACGCCTGGCTGATTTTTTGATTTATTGTAGAGATGAGGTCTCGCTGCCCAGGCGGGTCTCGAACCCACGGGCTCAGGCAATCCACTCACCTCAGCCTCCAAAGGCGTGGGATTACAGGCTGAGCCACTGAGCCCGGCTTCCTCCTAGTTTCTAATGTTTCCAGGTTGGCTACCAACCTTCCTCTTACTCCCCTCAAGACAAACACACTTTGTTCACATTCTCTACAGATACGAATATACTCATTTAAGCTAGAAACTCCTTTTCCTCTGTGGCTGACCTGGAAAGTAGTCTGTCTGTAAGGAGCCTTTGCACATCTCTGTTCTCTCCCATAAGACTTGGTGCTAATTCTACAATCCAACTCTCTGAGTTTATGGGGAGCCTGGGTGGCAAATTTACCACCTGTGCTTCCCTTACACAACTCTGGCTCCTGGTCTGTGCCTTGCTATTTTCTCATCCTTGAAGCCCTTTTTTGTCTCCGTCACCTTTGAGAGCCTTACTTGTCAATCAAAACCTTGTTTTAATGCCCACCTCCTCAGTTAAACTTTCACCATCCCCCTTAGTAAACTTAGTCTTTCTTTTTTGGTCATTCTATGGCTTTAGAAATGCATAGAAATAAGTATATATTGGTGATGGCACCAAACTCATTCCAAAGAGTGCCCTCTTAGAGAAGTATTTGTTGCCCTAGCAGAATTCATGCAATACCTTCCCATCATATCTTCTTTCCAATGTGCATGAATGATGTTAAAAATAAAACCAAAGTTCCCTTTTTCTATTCAATTTCCAAAATGGATGACCCAATCTTGTGCTCTTCAATATAATCTTGCTTTTATTAGGATTTTTCAATTCCTATTTCCAGACTGTTTTTAACTTTTAAAAATGTTTATGACAACTTGATTGACCCCGAGGAGGCTTGAATACAGGAGGACATGTGGAAATATTCTTTTTTTTTTTTTTTTTCCAAACAAAGTTTATTAGAGAAGGAAAGAGGAGAGATAGAGAGACATGCTAGGGCTGGCATGGGCAAGAGAAACCGCCAGAAATATTCTTTTGCCTATAATTTCAGATAAAGTTTCTCAGTCTTCCAAGAGGTGGGGGAAGGCGGAATTTGGAGAAGGCCTCTTAGCTGCCTTTCTGAGCTGTTCAGGTCCACCAGGGGGGCCAGTCTGACCCTAATGGCTAGCTGTATTGGGCATGGATTGAACAGAAAAACCACTCCCCTGCCTCAATTACCCAGGATTTCCTTCTTTTTTACCTTTCTTAGGGGGCTTGATAGTACTTTTGAGTAGGAAACAATGTTCAGCAACTAATTAGTTTTTGATAAAGCAAAAGATACTGGTGTATCAACATTCTGATATAGGGAGATGTGTGAATTCTATACAGACTATTTAAAGAGTAAAAAATGGGGAGGGATTAGGGTATAGAGAGAGTGGGACAGGAAACTGCTATATTTTAGTCATAAGCCTCAGTACCATTTGACTTTTAAAACTATATGCATGTACTTAGTAGTTGCTTTATAAATGCTGGTGTGTTAAAAAAACAAAACAAAACTATATGCATGAGCCAGTTGCAGTGGCTTACGCCTGTAATCCCAGCACTTTGGGAGGCAGAGGCAAGAGGATTGCCTAAGCTCAGGGATTCGAGACCAGCCTGAACAACATGGCAGACCTCATCTCTACAATAAATTAAAAAAACTAGCTGGGCATGGTAGTGCATGTCTGTGGTTCCAGTTAGTTGAAAGACTGAGGCGGGAGGATCACCTAAACCCAGCAGCCTGAGGCTGCGGTGGCCATGAGCATGCCACTGCACTCCAGCCTGGATGACAGTGAGACTCTGACTCAAAATAAATAAATAAATAAATAAATAAATAAATAAATAAATAAATAAAATAAGTAAAACTATATGCATGCTTTATATAGTATTTGATAAGATGATGTATTCTTAAAATAATTAATTGTCTTAACTATTAAATTTAAATTTGAGTCTTTGCCAGTTCTTAGTCTAATTAAACAACTCAATCAGGGTTAAAGTAGAAGGCCTAACTTGATTCTCAACCCTGGCTGCTCATTATAACCACCTGGGGAACTTTAAAAAATACAAGTGATCAAGCCAGACACCACACTAATTAAATCAGCATCTCTGGACACAGCCTTGGGCATCAATATTTATTAGAAGTTGTCCAGGGGATTCTAATATGCCACCAGGTTTGAAAACCATTGGACCTTTCTCCTAGTCTGTCTATTCTGTCCTCAAATAGATATATGTACATTTCTCTTCCCATTAAAGTTTGGGCTCCTTGAGGATAACAGGATGTGTCACTTACACATCTTTATTCCCTCAAAGCAATTAGCACAATGCCTTGTGCATGGCAGGTATTCAGTAAATATATGCTGGATAGACTTGCTGCATGCAGAAAATTGGAAGCTACTAGGGATGATGCTTCAATGAAATTAATATCTTATGTTAGAGACTTCAAAGAGGTCAATGTGGAGAATAATCTTCAACACTGCAATAATGAAGAACAAGAGAATACAGGCAACTAAATTGTTTTTAGGCAAATTTAAAGACTCATGATGATATTACATTAGATTTGAATTTGAGATTAGGAATTGGTCGGGACCAAAAATAATTGACTAATTCGGTTGTACTTAGAATTCTAAATTTTTTCTACAATCTTAGTATTATGGATAAAACAATTAATTCAATGAAATAACTAAGATAAGAGAGTTGCCTGCTGTGAGAAACTTCTAAAACTTACTTTTAAAAAGGGTAAATGTAGCTGGGCGTGGTGGCTCACACCTGTAATCCCCGCACTTTGGGAGGCGGAGGTGAGAGAATTGCCTGAGTCCAGCAGTTCAAGACCAGCCTGGGCAACTTGGTGAGACCTCAATCTCTACAATAAATAAAAAAATTAGCTGGGCATGGTGGCGCATACCTGTGGTTCCAGCTACTTGAAAGGCTGAGGTGGAAGGATTACCTGAGCCCAGCAAGTTGAGGCTGCAGTGGCCGTGAGCACGCCACTGCACTCCAACCTGGGCAATAGACTCTGATTCAAAAAAAAAAAAAAGGTAAATGTAATATTATGATGTAAGTTTGAAAAATGGAAAAAGGCAAAATTATAAGTTTTTATAATCTAGGCATAACATTTTTGCTTATTTATTTCTATTCTTTGTTGATATGAAAAAATATTTTTACATAATTATAATCAAGTTATGAGTCAGCTTTATATCCTATACATGTGTTTCTTTCATTTATGTTTTTTTTGTGAGACGTTGTAGATTGTATTACTGTCCCCAGTACTTCATTCCTCCCTGTACTTACACACGTCACTTGATTTGGCCTATGAAATGTTAGCAGTTGTGATGTGCACAGAAGCTTTACATGTGCTTTCAGCCTTGGGTTTGCTCTCTTGGGTTTCTGCTATTGTCACACAAAGAACATGCTCTGGGTGGCCCATCAGTCACAGAGACATGTGAAGTTGACTTGAACTCAACTCATGGCCTGGAGCCACATTCAACCCATCCCAAGTAGATCAGTCAAAACCTAGTTGACCTAAAAATGTATGAATGAGTAACAAATACTTATTATTTTATGACTTACATTTCAAGGATTTTTGTCTTGTAGATGTAGATGACTAATGCAGGAATTTCCCCAAGTTGTAGCATAGTCCT